CAGATTCAGCCGCTGTTGAAACTGATCAGTTTCAGCAGCAGCTGAATCTGGAGGCCAGTTCCGACTTACATACAGATTCAACTTAAGAACAAACCTACAGTCCCTATCTTGTATGTAACCCGGGGACTGCCTGTACATATAAATGAGCAAAATATATTGATACTAAACCTCCTATTTTTTTCGGTTTTATGTGATTATTAATATTGACATTTTGGGATTTTCCCAAAGGGTTCCTGTACATCTTGGCAAATTGTAGGGTTACAGTGTACTGTTTATGTGCGTGGAATATAACCATTCTCATAATCATACATCACACACACACACAAAACCCCAAAACAACCACAGAGCGGAGGATGAATTGTTTCTTAACAATTAGATTTAATGAGCAGAACTTGACCTTTTGTTATCTAATCAAAAGTCTAAGAGGGATGGGAGAAAGCTAAATGTTAGTTTCATTTAACCGATATAGTAGGATTCAAGATGGATGAGTAATTGCTAATTTATAAAACACTAACACACTTGCAAACCATATCATCTAGGCATGCCTTCAGACAGGTGAATGTCCATGGAATGTAAAAGCATGAGACACAACTTGTTTGGGATGTTTGAGGTAACTAGCTGTTAATCAAGTGGAGTAAATTAACCACAGTGTTAAATTTGAGTGTTCACCTTACAAGTGCAACACTGTTTTTCAAGGGTTTATTATATTCCAATTCAAAATTGAGAATGTTGAATTTGTTATATAGGTTGACTACTTTTGAGGCTTACCTAAATTATGCCATTAGTACAGAGCAGATGCAAAAAAGCATCTCTAATAATCTACTTCGTTTCCCTGTTAAGAAATGAGCTTTTTGCTGTTAGAATTTAACCAAACATTCTTTCTCTTCCTCAGTTTATCAGAGAAGATATGAAATATAAAGATGCTTCCAATAAACACAATCATCTGCACAGGGAAGACAAACATATCACCATTGAGGATCTGTGGAAATGCTGGAAAACCTCTGAAGGTAAGGGTCAGGAAATAATGTTTCGAGATCCGGGTCATGGCTTTTTGGGTGGCCCAGCACTAAATCCAAGCTTTCTTGAAGTAAAAGTGATATTGAGATAAATGTGATATAACCATTGGCATTAAATGACATACAGTACTGGAAGGATGACCTGTTTTGAACACCTGTGGCACCTCTCATTTACAGGTTAACCTAGAAGCATAATTAAAGTTTCATTAAATTCTCAGCTAGTTCTGAGTTCTGGACATGCTCAAGCAGTTCTGTGTAAATGAAATTGTTATTCTGCAAAGTTAAATGGTACATAGTTTTTTTTAAACTGTTCACTTACCAGTTGACATTGTTGCATTGTAATTGATAAAACCTTGGAACTTAGTATTACAGTAGTCACATAAGTACTGTGTATAGAATGTATTAAAATGGGGAACATCAATTTATTCTGATTTATTTTAATGAAAATCATATTTGGTTTGTAGTGTAAAGGACTAGATTTCTTAAATACTGTGATTAGTTTCTCTATATTGATAGGTATAGCATATTGGAGTAGTAGCTGCTCCATTTTTCCTAGCTTTGGGTAAAAAGTTCAAACTGCTACTCTGATCTCAATACCCATAAGTAGGGCCATTTTAGTCTATTTCATGGTTATAGGATTTTAAAAATTGTATATTTCATTGTTTCAACTATTTAAATCTGAAATTTCATGGTGCTGTAATTGTAGAGATCCTGACGGGGGGAAAAAAGAGCTGTGGATTGGTCACAAGGTTGTTTTAGTGGGGGGTTGTGATAACTGACGAGCAATAAAAGCAGAGCTGCCACTAGCAACAGCCCAGAAGGATGTCATAGTTTGGCATTGCCACCTTTTATTTCTATGCTGCTGCTGGCTGGGCAGTGCCTCCAGAGCTGGTTACCTGGCCAACAGCTACCATTCCCCGGCCACCCAGCTCTGAAGGCAGCACAAAAGTAAGGGCGATAATACCATGACCCTCCTGAAATAACCTTTTGACTCCCTTTTGGAACACGACATTCTTCCCCCCCCCCCCAACCTTTGAGAAACACTGGTGGTCTCAGGTATCTGTGGTATAGGGTATAAGCACACAAAAGACCAGGTTTTATGAGCGTGGGTGTCAAGATTTCAGTCTGTAATGCATTTTTCATGGCTGTGAATTTGTACAGCCCTACCTGTAAGCACTGAAGGACTCACGTATCTGAGCATTACAGTATTTGTAATTTTTAATTAGTGGTATTTATATATCATTGAAGATATTTGTGTCAATATGTGTGACTAAAAATAAACTGAATGGAAGCAGAATATAGAAAATTTAGATCAAACTGCCAGAATAAAAAGTAAAACAATGTCACTCTTTTTCTGCCAGAAGGAGTTGGAATGTTAATGGTGAACTCAGAAAAGCATTTGAAAACCATTGTCAAATGAACTACAAAGTTATGGCAACATCAATCACTATTAATAGGCTAATAAGGCTATATTATTGAAAACAAATCTTTTTTGTTCATAAAAAACCAGAGATGTGAGCACAACTAGTAATATGTGCTGCGAGCTCACTGTTATTTCAATATGTGCATCAGTGGGTTAACAGTACCCCCATGGTATTGCTATTTTGTCTCCTCTGTGTACCAAGACAGCTCTGCCAGGGAAATGAGGAAGAAGCACTTAAAAACGAGGTACCCAGACAACCTTCGCTGTAGCCTACACACTTTGATGGATGCCATATGGTAATAGTATGCTGTCAGTTAAGGCGCTTCAGTCTTTCTGGTCCCAGATTAGATTCAACTGACTTTTAAAAAGACCTATTGGAGTTTTTTTTCCTTGCCTTTTTATCCCCTTTTAGTTTAGTGCCACTACAGGTTAAAGTTAATGTTGCTTGGGTATCTTGTCAATTTCTACACCCTAATATGTTTGATTCTTCTAAGTGTAACTCTAACTCTGAATTCTTGAGTTTGTAATTTTTAAAATTGTAACCCCTTTAGTTACTGATGCATACTCTCAAAGTTTGCTCCATTTTAACATAGTTTTTAGTCTTGAATTATAGATATAAACTTAAAAATAATCAACAACAAAATTTGAAGCAAGTTTAGGGTTCTAAATTTCTTAGACAGCTGTCATGAGGATGTGGTGCTTTCGGGTCTTCTGCTTGAATCCATGAATTAAAGCAAAACATGGAACTTCAGTAGCTTTTATCTTAAACTTTTGCATCCTAAAGTATAGTTCAAGTTACTTATTAGTAGATGTTATATTTGTGAACCTATCAAACACCACAGTTATTTTTTCTCTCTTGGAGAGGTGTTAGGGAAGGATAGTAGCAATTCTAATTGTTTTTGAAATTTGGCTTGACAAAGAACACAAATAATTTGGGACAGAAATAAACAAAGGTCCCTAATGCAAAGAATGGTGTCAGTAATGTCAACTTCCAGGAGCTTATTGAAAGGTATTTGTGTATGAGGGTCACAAGCTGTAAATAATACTTAACAATTTCCTCTTAAGCTTACAGAGATACATCACATCATAACTAATTGAAGGAATAAAGTTGTGATAATTCCCCCTCTCCCCGTAAAAGGCTATACACGAATATGCCCTTTCCGAGGCATGTGTTTACTACTTTCAAGGTGTGTCCTGACTGATTACAGTAATGTGAGATAAATAAATCTTTGTGTAGAAAGCAAAGTGCTCACAGTTTATAGCATACTAAGAACAGCTTTGCTGTGTTGTGCTGTCGCTTGTTAAATGCTGCTCTTTAGGTAAGTGGGTGAGGTCCTTTTATTGGACCAAACTCTGTTGGTGAGAGAGACAAGCTTCTGAGTTTACACAGAAGGTCTGGCTTCTTTAAAACTGAGGTTTACTGAGAATCTGGCAGTCTATGCAGAAGATGTATGTGGTGAACTGCATGAGTTGTAAAAATGTGACACTTTTCTTTGGGGGAAGGGAGTAGAGTAGGTACAGCAAACTCCTATAACGGATGTTGTGAACACATGGAATTTTCAGAGACTCTTCTATCAATTTTATACATGTTTTTTAATGCGGGCTGGTGGGCTGGACTCAGGGTAGGGTTTCCTGCAGGAAATAATGTTAGAGGGGGGTAATTACTGCAAGTCCCTGGACAGCTGTAAGTCTGGAGAAGTCTCTCCCCCTGTAGAGGGAGGGGACCTCATTCAAGAGACCTGGGAAACAATGAATTGTTAACTTCTCCTCCCAAGAACTGACACATTGTCTGAGACAGATCCTGTGAAAAGGCTTCAAATACTCAAACTTGCCAGGGTCTTTGGAATATGGACAACAGTTGGTAAGCCAGACACATGTATTGGCTGCTTATGGCTTTCTTGTTGTATTAGCTCTGTAACGTTCTGAATAATAATACTTTGCTTTATGGAAGCTGGCTGGTCAATGTTAACCTTGTATGTACCACTGAGAAAATGCTACTGCAGATGCTGAATCAAGATCAGATCTTCTGAGTTAACTTCAATGAATCCCAAGAGTCTGTAGCCTAAGGACCTATTCAGGGGAGATAGGATGGTGGGACAACCTGCTAAGAGAGCTGACTGGTACAGGCCTGGTACTTTAGGGGGGTTCCCTCAAGAAGGCCACAAAGGGAGTTGAGGTACATTGTTTGGAGAGCTGTAGCCTCTTATTCCCCAAGCACCTGCCTACCCTGGATAATAGTCATTGATGGACCTATACTTTGTGAAGTTATCCAGTTCTTTGAAACCTGTTACAGTCTTGGCCTTCATAACATTCTCTAGCAGGTTATGTACAGGTTGATTGTGCCTTGTATGAAAATGCTTCATTGTGTTTTAAACCTGCTGCTTATTAATTTTCTTTCAATGAGCTTGATTTTTTGTGTTATGGGAAGGAGTAAACACTTCCTTATTTACTTTCTCCTTGACAGTCATGATTTTATAAATCTCTCTCATATCCCCCCAGATAGCTTTTTTTTCCAAGCTGAAAAATTCATCTTATTAATCTCTCTTCCAATAGAAGACATTCCAAATTCCTTTTTTGCCCTTTCTGCACCTTTTCCAATTTCAATATATCTCTTTTGAGATGGAGCAACCAGATCGGCATGCTTTATTCAAAATGTGAGGATAGCTTGGATTTATATAGAGGCAGTATGAGCTCTCTATCTTGCTATCTGTTCCTTGTTTCCTTTCCTTTTTGCTAGAGAGTTTTTAGAATGAAGACACCTCCCACTCCTTTCTGGTAGTCTCTTAGGTGGTATCAAACTGTTCTGGTTCATTGATTTCCACATCCACATCTGATTTTGCCAAGCATGATTTTAACATGTCCTTGCAGTTATCAGGAGGCCTCTTTATTTAAACTAATTCATGTTTTCTGCCTCTATTTCATACCTTTTCCTATCAACATTTTATAGGTTTTTGTGACATTTTATGAACTCATACTCTTTACAGTTGATCACACAGAGTAAATGGATAGGCCCAATTATCAGAATACCCATATTTCTATCCATTAAAAAAGATTGATTCTACCACATCAATTTTAAAAATTCACAGGCTGTTGTTCAGGGAACACACTTTCAGTTCCCCAGTTGTCTCCCTCAAGCATTACAGGACATATGCCTGGGCTGGATGCAGCCATGATAAGCTCTCAGGCTATCTTGTGCTATGCAACAAATATAGACTATTTTCTATCATGTTAAAGGAGTTCTGGTTGAGGCTGTCTGCCTTTTTGTGTGATCACCACCTTCCTTGGACATCTTCATCCAAAACAGTACCCTATCACATGCGTAAAGATAGGCTGGGATCCTGCCTATCTGTTGCTTCTGTTGTTTTATCCCGTATTTGATGCTATGTTCTATCTGGGTGTGGTTAGGATTGTATATTTTCAGTTTTTCTTGAAATATTAAGTACCCGAGTTGTATTAACCACTACATTTATGTTGCATGCAAAAGATATTATCCTACTGTATTCTTGTTCTCAAACATCAGGCAGGATTCCTACAGACCCTGCATAGTATTCCTCCATTGCATAGAATT